GGGGAAGTAACCACCATCAGGAACACACACACACACACACAGACACACTACAACACAGACACAATAAGTCAAGTCACTCGTGTGTGTATGTATGTATGACATCCTCTGCCACTTTTCCTTGCCCTTTTTCCTCCCCCAGGGGGCCTCAAAGATAACTAAAACACACACACACAGACATACAGACGCACAAAGGTCTACTAGAAGGGGGAGATAGCGCACTCACAACCAAATGCAGCTTAGCAGTTCTGACTTCCACAGCACTACCACCACCGCCGCCGCTGCCGCCGCCGCCACCAACACCCCTGAAGACGTCGCCGTCGCCAAGGCCATCGTACGGCGGCAATCCCGCCGCCGCGCCGCCGGCGCTGGAGAGCCCTCCGCCGCGTGGAGAGCCCTCCGTCGGCGATAGCGGGTGCGACAGCGGGTATGTGTGCGGGTGGGTGGATGTGTTGTGCTGCGGATAGAGGTGCTGTTCGATGATGATGGTGAGGATGGCGTGTGATCTGGAGGACTGTTCGTTGGCGCAGGTGCTGCTTGTGGCTCTGGAATTGGGAATTGCAAAAGGGAGGGAAGGGAACAGGATTGGGAGGAAGGGAACAGGATTGGGAGGGAAGGGAACAGGATTGGGAGGAAGGGAACAGGATTGGGAGGAAGGGAACAGGATTGGGAGGAAGGGAACAGGATTGGGAGGAAGGGAACAGGATTGGGAGGGAGGGAACAGGATTGGGAGGAAGGGAACAGGATTGGGAGGAAGGGAACAGGATTGGGAGGGAAGGGAACAGGATTGGGAGGAAGGGAACAGGATTGGGAGGAAGGGAACAGGATTGGGAGGGAAGGGAACAGGATTGGGAGGAAGGGAACAGGATTGGGAGGAAGGGAACAGGATTGGGAGGAAGGGAACAGGATTGGGAGGGAAGGGAACAGGATTGGGAGGAAGGGAACAGGATTGGGAGGAAGGGAACAGGATTGGGAGGAAGGGAACAGGATTGGGAGGAAGGGAACAGGATTGGGAGGGAGGGAACAGGATTGGGAGGGAAGGGAACAGGATTGGGAGGGAAGGGAACAGGATTGGGAGGGAAGGGAACAGGATTGGGAGGAAGGGAACAGGATTGGGAGGAAGGGAACAGGATTGGGAGGAAGGGAACAGGATTGGGAGGGAAGGGAACAGGATTGGGAGGAAGGGAACAGGATTGGGAGGAAGGGAACAGGATTGGGAGGAAGGGAACAGGATTGGGAGGAAGGGAACAGGATTGGGAGGAAGGGAACAGGAAGGCGGGAAGTGGGGGGAATATAAACGCAAGGAGCAAAAGGTTAAGAGGGGAAAGCAAGGGCCGGCAATGACAACCGGGGGAGGTTGCGGGGATTTATTTACGGAGGGGTTGGGAGGGGGGTTGGGGGGGGAGGGGCTTGGGCTGGCGATTTCCTCCTTCTTCTCCTAATTCTCCTCCTTCCCCTCCTTCTTGGCCACCCCCTTGACACCTCTGCGGCGTGTCCACATCCCCCATTCCTTTCCCTCCTCTCCCCGTCCTGCAAATCCCCCCACACCCCCTC